AATAAGACTTTCTAAAATAAAAATTGGTATAAAAAATAGAATCCATTAAATTTCCATCCAATTATTTCCAAAAATAGCACTTATTTCAATCATTCTATAGACCAAATCTAAATCTTTAACCTTTAATGAAAAAGTGTCACAATCACAGCATTATAGTGATTGCTATTTATATGTTTTATAGACCTATCCTTAAACAATGATGCTTTGTTCAAACCAGTTTGGAAGACCCATTGATAATGATTGACCAGTTTACCGTCTTGGTGAGACTTTACCTCAGTTTTCCTGGCATCCTCCTCCTGTAATAATTCTACCTTAGACCTCAAATCATCTCTGTCATCTTGAGCTTCTTCTAATAACTTGGTCAAACTGGAAATAGCCATTTTAAAATAATATAGGGTAAAGCATTATCTGCAGGATTAAGGAGACAGTACAAAGTGCCATACATACTGCTGTGGTAAAAATACTAGCCAGTCATTTAGAGCAACACCTGCCTTCCCTGACTTTCATTGACTTAACTTTACAACACAAGAATATAGCAGCGTATACTGCAGCCTTGTGTCACATATATTACAGACATTGCGAGTTGTCATAGCTACTAGACAAGGCAGAGAAGATAATAGCCACACTAGGTTTGTTTCAGATAAACTTTTATTTCAGGGTTTTTGGCAACTTTAAGGTCTGGTGTTAGGATAGATAAGAAGCTTTTTAGGACAAAAAAATGACTGATGGGAATTTTCAACTGTGGGCAGATTGTTTTTAAACAATAAATTTCAAAAGTTGTCTTACTTTTCCACATCTCCAGTCTTCTGTTCTACAGTGGCGACAAGATCTTCGATTTCTTTTTGATGCAGTGAAGTTTCTTCTTTCAGAGCCTCCATTTTTCCCAAAGCAGACTTCAGCTCCTGTGATGATATAAATGCTCAGACATTAATTTCAACTTTACAATGAGACTTTCTAAACTAAAATAAATGTCACAAGAAATAGAAACCATCAAGGTTTGATCCACTTTCTTCCAAAATGAACATGAATTTCAATCATTCTGCAGACCATATCTAAATCTTTACCGTTTAATGGAAAGGTGTTACAAGCACAGTACTATAGCAATTGCTACTTATATGTTTTTATAGACCTATCCTTAAACAGTCATGCTTTGTTCAAACCAAAAATCCATTGATAAAGACTGACCAGGTTTACCCTGAGACTTTACCTCAGTCTTCCTGGCATCCTCTGCCTGTAATAATTCCATCTTTGACTTCAACTCATCACTATCACCTTGTGCTGTCTCTAATAACTTGGTCAACCTAGATACAGTGATATAAAAAGTCTAAGATAAATATGGTTTATCACCAGGAGAGTGTTAAAGTGTTTTTAACAAGACATACTGAAGAACTTTTCAGACTATATTTTTTAAAAAATCCCTCTATGCGTCTTAAATGTGAAAAAAAAATTCTTACTTTTCCAATTCTTCCGTTTTCTGTTCTACTGTGTTTAGAAGTTCTTTGTTTTCATTTTGTGGGAGAGCATTTTCTTCTTTTAGAATCTCCAGTTTTCCTATAGCAGTATTCAGCTCCTACAATAACACAACAGTACAAATAAACATAACATAAATAAAATTTTGCGAAAATATACCACAAACAAAAGAAATACAACAAATGTAATAAAAATATTATATCTAAAAGTTTAAATTGAAAGTTAAAATGAAGAGAAATACTTTTCAATTATAATTGGTAAAAAACAATTTTTGAAGACAAATTTTCCATTACCAACACATTATTTCTTTAATATATTTTCTGGCCTACCTTGAAGCAACACGTTTCTGGAAAAAATTTACTCTACTGAATATGGTTTAAGACTTTACCTCAGTTTTCCTGGCATCCTCTTCCTGTAATAATTCCACCTTTGACCTCAATTCATCACTTTCACCTTGTGCTTTCTCCAATAACTTGGTCAACCTGGAAATAGTGAAAATAAAATTATTATAACACATTCAACTACACAGAAATGTTAGAGACAAGTAAAAAATCATTGGCCAAGTAAATCATAAAAGCTATCAACTCGATACATAATACCTCAATAATAACAATAAATTTATAAATTATTATAATAATAACCCACAAATTCCAGAAATACTGTACATACTCCACATACAGTAGAAGAAGGTTATATGACCCATGGAATGCCTGTAAAAATTTTCATCTCTTATGCCAGTCTATGCCATATTATTTTAAAAAATATTTTTCCTGTCCAAGTGGTCAAGGTCCAAAAGTGTACTGTAAATGCACTGGTCCTTTGAAGCAAAAGAAGCCAATTTCCAAAATTCTGAAAGCCCTGTTTTACTGGCATTTCATTTTGGCATGTGTTCAGAGCTGATACACCAGGCTGCACTATTTACTGATATTTAGTGATAGTTATCATTTACTTTGGAACAAAACAGCAAATAATACTAAAACAGTTTTTTGCCCTTTTCACTTTTGTTATTGTTCCAAAGTAAGTGATTACTATCACTACATGGTCAGCAGATACAATCCCTTCAAGCCATGGAAAAATTGTATTGATAAGGCTGTGCTGTTGTCTTACTTAGCAAGTTCTTCAGTCTTCTCTTCTATAATGGTACAATATTTCTTGCTCTCCTCCAGGGACATGGCTGCCTTGGTTTCCATGGCAGCAAGGCGAGACTGGAGCTCTTCTCTCATTGCCTCCATCTCCACCGTCTTCTGATTCAACTGGCATAAAAGAAAAAAAAAACTCTTTAAAAGCCATAATTTGAACTGGACAGATGTCCTTTTCAGGACCACTGTAAGACTAGTATGTTGTTCAAGGAAAAGCATACCCGAGATTACCCTAGGTTCTAGATTCCGGTATTGCCAGCTCGATCTTGATTTCATATATAACCCATATCAGCAATACCAGGCTCTAGCAAACAGCGGCAACTCGGGGGCGTTCTTCTTCAAAATTCTGCCTAGGGCACTTCCATATTTGGAAGTCACACGTCACACCTGTGTCCGCCTGGATCCATATTTGGAAGTCAGAAGTCTCGTACGTCACAGGTTTGGCCGCCTGGAGCTGCCTTTCCCGCCTTGCACTGAAGTTATCTCATGCAGACGAGACAAGAAGCAATTTAAGTGCCTGACGCGGAGTTAGAAGTTTGAATTGAAAATATCTTGCAGTCGAAGGTCAGTGCCACAATACAAGCAACATTCTGCTGTAAAAACTGATTTTCGTGTAGCCATTGCCCAGCCCTTATAGTGGTATCGGACATACAGTGTAGCTGTCAAATTTGGCACATGGCAAGCACGTGTGTTGTGCACGTGTATATCTCAGGACTAAATGTTCTTTGATAAGCAAAAAATACAAAAACATTGGATATATCTTTTCTTTTCGAAGAATATTATTTATTTTTTCACTTTACATCTTAAATACAGCAAATAAAATTAAATAAAGCAGAATTAAATTTGTTTTACGTTTCATTTTGGTCTGATATCATTCAACTGCAGATTCACTGCGGAGCAGTTCTATTTGATTGACAGAAGCCTAACATGGCTGCTGTTCCTCAGAGCTAGTAAAAATTACTCCAAGGTATATTTAATATTTACAAGCTAATTTTTACGTTGCTCTGACACTGGGGGTAACCCGAGATATGACTAACACCATATTATCTTTAAGTTTTTTTCTTTGTCAAAACCATAGGCACTTTTGTAGGTCTTACCTGCTCCTGAAGGACTTCAGCTTGCTCTTGATACTCTTTCTGTAAAAGACATTTTACAGTAAACATCAAGTTTTACAATTTCAGAAGAAAAAGTTAAAGATTGAAATATACCTTGCTCTTTAATGAGAAAGGCAAATATTTAACAAGGTATGAAAAACATTAAATCCAATTTTACTTTTAATTTCTAAATCACTATTTGACTTCATTTGTGAATACAGTATATGGAAAAAATAATATAACAACCCATATTTTCTTAATTTCCCCAAAAGTTTTCACTTTGATATTAAAAAGACAAGGAAACTTCAGGAGAAAATTTCAAATCTGTGGTATATGTAAACGGTTGAGCTCAAAATGGCAGTAAAACTGATTGAAATATGAACATTTAAAAAAATCATGAGGTGGAAATACTTGCCTTTAGAGATTCCAGACTACCTTCAGACTCAGCTAATGTCTCACTGACCACTTCTAAATCTTCTCGCAGCATTGACTCCTGAAAGAAAGAAACAATTAAATGTGCACAAATATATTTTTCTACATATGCTTGAGGGCATGAAGAGCAAACATTGGCAGCTCGACGTACATCTTAACTTAGAAACAAACAAACAAACAAACAAACAAACAAACAAAAAAGACAAGGCTAAAATTGTGATAAACTATATGATTTTTGCCTGAAGGGTCAACTGTATTGACACACACACATGATTTTGATTAGTCAAAGCCTTTTAATAACAGCTGTCAATATAAGTCCACAAGATATTAAATTACTTACAATGGCACTAAGCTGCTCCTTCTCCAGCACAAACTTGGCTGACAACTCGTCCATTTGCTTGGTCTTTTCCTCCAGCGCTGTCTGTGTGTCTTGTTTTTGACACTCTAACAAATAGACGTCATTCTCTCTGGCTGTCAGCTCTGACCTCAGCACTGCCAGGATTTCTGCGTTCTCAGAAATCTGGGATTTCTGATCCTGAATTCTGGTCATCATATCCCCGATGGCTGCCTGAAGAGAGTAANTCATCAGTTCTGCAAGTTTCAAATCAAAAGGCAAAATGGTTTTCCACTTATCGTGTTATCGGTAAAAGTGCACGGCGACGGCGACGGCGACGACGGCGACAGCGACGACGGCGACGGCGACGACAGACGCAGATGATGGCTATATGTACAGACACATCTGTGTCTGTACATAAAAAGTAACTTGATTTAAAAATATGTATGCCCAAATTTGTTCTCTTACAATTAAAATATCATTAAATTTTATCAAATTCCATATATGCCCTCAAGGAAGAATCCATTCTCCATTCTTTTCATACTTATAAATATATATCTATAAAAACATAACTATTAGCATTTATTTCTTTCTTCATTTTCATTTTCAGCTAAAATCAATTCTCTTCCAAGTATCCATGATCCAAAATTGAAACTGATTTTGACACCGTTTTAAGCACAAATCCACTTGTACTACACACCTTGTCCCTCTCCGCCTCCTTATTGGCCTCTCTGACGGCATTCTTCGCTGTCTCTAGTTCCTGCACCAGCAGGGAGGTCTTCTGGTCCTGGGCGTCACACTGGGACTGCAGGACACTGCACTGGTTCTGGAGACGACTGTTCTCCTCTAGGGCCTGGCCTAGTTCTTGTTGCTACAGATAGAATGTGTTATTAAATTAATTAATTAAGACAATGACATCACTAATAACAATAATAGTAATGTAGTCCAAAACTGTGTACACGCCAGTGCACAAGTGTGTGTGTGTGTGTTTGTGTGTTTGTGTGTGTGTGTGAGAGAGAGAGAGAGAGATGTAAACAACAAAAAAGTGCAAATTTTAGACCACAACAATCCCCATTACCATTGTGTACAACTGAATATGCACATGTACATGCAAATCAGTGCACATACTCCCCTTATATTTCAACAAAATTACGTATGTGCAGTTGCAAATGTGGCAAACAACAATGTAACTTACCACTTCATGCCCAGTAGCCAACTGAGCTGTCATCTTAGATACCTTCTCCCTCTCAGCCTCCATTTGGCTGGTCAGACTCTTCAGTTCAACTTCCTTCTCCTTACAGGTCTCCATGGAGGTCTTCAGCTGCTCCTCCAGGGTGGCAACCTGCCCTTCCATGAAGCTTTTAGTGTCCTGAAGGTTTTCTACTTGCTCCTGAAGATGGTTATGAAATAACAGTTTGATACCATTCCAACTATTCAAATTGGAATCACTGGTCACAGCCTTTGTTGTAAATGACTGGCCCTTTTCTTCTTTTTTTTTGTTGTCAAATTGTATTAAATGGATAATTTATGCTTAAAAAATTCTAAAATCCTACGCGACTGAAATCTAATAAATAAATAAATAAATAAATAAATAAATAAATAAATAAATAAATAAATAAATAAATAAATAAATAAATAAAAGAAAAAACATCCAAGAAATAATGAAAATATTGTTTCATTAAAAAGTGAGCTGTTTACCTCCAATGTCAACTTCTCATCTTGTGCTGCCTGGTACTCCTTCTGGAGATTAAAGTGCTCGATTTCAATCCTTAGGAGCTGAAATTAGAAAAAAAAAAAAAGAGGTACTAACTTTAAGTATGATAAACCTGGAGGTCTCCTTTTTTTCTCTTTCCCATGTACAGCATGTGGTTTTAAAGTCTTGAATAAATCTTTAGCCCAAGACTTTTTCACTCTTTCAAATTAAAAAAAAAAATCAACCTAGAAAATTTTAGAACAATTAAACTTTTAAATCCATTTTCTTTGAAAAAAAATATAAGTGCATAACATAAAACACCGTAAACCTTCTAGCACTTTCACATACCTTTGTTTCAATTGCTGCCTTCTCTTTTTCCTTTTCTTCATCACTTAATTTGATCTTGGACTTGTAGGTAGCTATTTCCTTGTCTGCCTGCTGGAGGAGTACCCTGTAGTCTTCCTTCTCTCCTTCCATCACTGGAATAAAGTTTTGAATTATTTTCAAAAAAAATATTTTAAACCTTTTACCATTTCAGACCAAAATAATCTTCATTTATTGATGTTGCTTTTTCATCAAAGTGTGAACAAATCTGAAAGGTCCCTTCATTAAATTAACCTTTTTATTTTTGTACAGTTTTGTCATGACAAAAAATATGACTATTTACCTTATATATCGTACTATATGACTCTCCATACACCTTAATGTGTTAATTTTTTAAAAGACTTTTAAAACAATTTGACATTTTTCTTCCATTATATTATCTTCCATTAAAAGACCATTCCACGAGAACAGTACTCATTATGCCCTATCAAAATAATAAGATATGTTATTCTAAGAACAAGTATTTTCTTCTCACTTGTAAAGTTGTCTGTAACCTGCTGTAACTGCAGTGTCAAAGCCTCCAGTTGGGATACTGAAGAGTCCCTCTCTCTCACCAGCTCTAGTCTCTCTGTTGTCATGGACTACAATGATGTAAAATAGAAGAATATCAGTTATTGTAAGAAATTGTAAGAAATTAAAAGTAAATTATTACAATTGCTGAAGGCGTCCTTTTCCTCACCATTTCATCTCTTTGCTGTCATGGACTACAATGATGCAAAAAAGAAGAATATTGGTTGTAGCATAATTTTTTTTTTTAATTACAGGAAATTATTACAATTGCAAAGCAATGCAAAGGGCGAATGTGTAAACTTGAATTTCAAAGACACTGTATAAAAAGGTCCCAAGCCTTCACTCACCTCAACCTGATGCTCTAATTTGGAGGCGTTTTGTTTCAGTGTCAGCATCTCAGTTTCCCTGTCTTCCAGAGTCTTCAGATTCTCATTATTTTTCTCCTACAGACCAAGATATAAATACACCATACAATGTGTCATACATGTGTCAAATGCAGACCTCATTTTGTAAATGTAGCTATTTGTATTTTGACAATTTGTTTTTTTAAATTGGATATCAGTTCATAATGGTCAAAAAGATATATCATATCAATTTCTTTTTCTTTCATGAAAAATTTTTTAATATTTACAATTAATTTATATATCAATTAATTTAAAATGTATTGGATTTACATTCAGTTTTTTAATTTCTTCCAGCAGAGCGTCCAGCGCCTGCTCCTTCATTTGATCTGGCATCTCGACGTCCATCAAAGTCTCCGCCTCTTCCTTCTCCTCCATTCCGTCCTCTTCTGCAGTCAAGTCAAACTGAATGCTGCCACCAGACATTGGCTTCAGGATGGTTCTGTTCCGGAGGTTGTACAGTGCTTTCTTAGGGGTGGTGATTTCCTTTGAAAATAAAAGGATGTTGTTTTAATACTATACTCAATAGGTGTTATAATAAAGTATTAGTTAAGTGTACGTAGCATTATAATTACAATAGCACAGGTCAGAAAATAATTTCAGTTATTGCAATCATTTCCTGTTTGGTTTTTTCTGTACTAACTACAATATTCTACATGATCTTGTCATCAATGCGAACAATTTCATAATAATAATCAATGATGTGTAATCTTCCTGTAAGTCAACCACACCTCATGGGTTCTTAAAGTTTATCACCTGAGTCCAAAACCTGATCACTCACCCTGATGGTCTCTATATGCATGTCTGTGATACTTTTCCTTTCATTCCTGCTACTGGTGTTCTTGGCCTCCAGGTTGTGGTGGAGGTCAGCTATGGTCTTCTCCTTTGACGCCAGGTCTGCTTTCAAATCCATCTCCATTTTCTTTGACACTGCTTCTTTTTCTGACAGCTCTTGTTTGGCCTATGTGAAACAATATTTCATTACACACAAGAAGTGCATAAAAGCAAAAAAAAATGTGTGTGCATGTGTGTATGTATGTGCATGCATGTCTGCATGCATATGACACTTCAGAAAACGGGAAAACAGAGGAACAAGAGGGAAAATAAAGACAAAAAAATAGTTATCTACTCCTGTTACAGTACTGGACTAAACCACTGTTGACCATCTAATACTCACAGACTCTAGCTGGGACTGCAGGTGGTTGATCTGAGACTTCAACTTTTCTACGGCTGCAGCATCGATGGCGCCTTCCGCAGCAGGGTTGGTGCAAAGTGAGAGTCTCCTGTCAAATTCTCCTCCCACCTGGGGCTGTTGGTTCTCGTTCATCAAGTCCTTGTATATTTTTTCTAAGTCTCGTGCTTTCTGTTCCGTAATTCTGACAATATTTCTGTTGGATTCTAGTGATCTCAAAGTTTTTATTTCGCTTCGGAGATTCTGGTTTTCGACAGCAAACTTTGTGACAACAGGATTGTGTTCTAATTCCTTCTGAAGCATTTTAATTTCCTCTCTCAAGTTACACTGGAAAAGAGAATTAAATTCAAAGAAAAAACTAAGACCTGACCTAAACTTTTGAAACAAAAAATGAAGTGCAGTCACTCACACACAAATACAAAATCTTTCTATTTAATTATTATATTATATTATCAATAATACATTATCAATATTGATATATTTGCAAAGGTTGTATTGGTCTGCTCGCTCCAACATGTCTGCAAACAAATTCCTGTTCTTATCCCTTAATTTCCACCTGTGACTCCTGCACCCAAATCTACTTACAATAACCCCGTCCTTGGCGTCTCCATCAGGGTCCCCAGCCTTCAGGTGTTTCTCCAACATTTGGAGGGCACTCTCCTTGAACTTCACCCTCATGTTGATGGCCATGATCTTGTAGTCCCTGGCCTTCAGCTCCTGCTCCTGGCCTGCTTTCTTCTCCTCCAGGCTCTGAAGCGAGAGACACAGTTTGGTTTATCAAACTTCTCAAAACTCTTTCATTCTAATTTACAAAACTCTTTCATTCTAATGCATGTAGTTTTGGCATGGTATACAGTAGACCAAGTACATTATAACCTGAATTTTTTATCTCAAACAAAATATATGCTTTTTTTTCATTGTCCAGTTCACAACTGCACATAACTCTATCCAATTTCTAGGCCCAAAATGTCTAAATTATGAATCATTTATTGAATTTATTATCATCTAAATGCTGCAGGAAGATTAAAAAACAAGGCAGCAAAGCTGTCAAATGTACAGACAAAAAACAGGAAATAACTATGCACAAAATAGGCTACTGTCAATTCTGATGCAAAAGTACATTATGTTAAACTGCAAATTCAACATCAAATTTTAATTATGCTCAACAGGTAATAACAATGTAAGTAAAATGTGTAACAAGCATAAGGCTTCAGGCCCATGGGAGTTAAAGTTCACACTTTGAAAATGTATAACTTCCAGAAAAAGAAGCCAATTAGACTACTTTTCCAACTCAGGCTGCATTTTAGTCCTGTATTTCTTTTTTNCTGTACATAAAAAGGTCCCAAGCCTACACTCACCTCAACCTGATGCTCTAATTTGGAGGCATTTTGTTTCAGTGTCAGCATCTCAGTTTCCCTGTCTTCCAGAGTCTTCAGATTCTCATTATTTTTCTCCTACAGACCAAGATATAAATACACCATACAATGTGTTATACAAATGCAGACCTCATTTTGTAAATGTAGCTATTTGTATTTTGACAATTTGTTTTTTTAAATTGGATATCAGTTCATAATGGTCAAAAAGATATATCATATCAATTTCTTTTTCTTTCATGAAAAATATTTTAATATTTACAATTAATTTATATATCAATTAATTTAAAATGTATTGGATTTACATTCAGTTTTTTAATTTCTTCCAGCAGAGCGTCCAGCGCCTGCTCCTTCATTTGATCTGGCATCTCGACGTCCATCAAAGTCTCCACCTCTTCCTTCTCCTCCATTCCATCCTCTTCTGCAGTCAAGTCAAACTGAATGCTGCCACCAGACATTGGCTTCAGGATGGTTCTGTTCCGGAGGTTGTACAGTGCTTTCTTAGGGGTGGTGATTTCCTTTGAAAATAAAAGGATGTTGTTTTAATACTATACTCAATAGGTGTTATAATAAAGTATTAGTTAAGTGTATGTAGCATTATAATTACAATAACACAGGTCAGAAAATAATTTCAGTTATTGCAATCATTTCCTGTTTGTTTTTTTCTGTACTAACTACAATATTCTACATGATCTTGTAATCAATGCGAACAATTTCAACTTATAATAATCAATCATGATGTGTAATCTTCCTGTAAGTCAACCACACCTCATGGGTTCTTAAAGTTCATCACCTGAGCCCAAAACCTGATCACTCACCCTGATGGTCTCTATATGCATGTCTGTGATACTTTTCCTTTCATTCCTGCTACTGGTGTTCTTGGCCTCCAGGTTGTGGTGGAGGTCAGCTATGGTCTTCTCCTTTGACGCCAGGTCTGCTTTCAAATCCATCTCCATTTTCTTTGACACTGCTTCTTTTTCTGACAGCTCTTGTTTGGCCTATGTGAAACAATATTTCATTACACACAAGAAGTGCATAAAAGCAAAAAAAATGTGTGTGCATGTGTGTATGTATGTGCATGCAATCGGCATGCATATGGCACTTCAGAAAACGGGAAAACAGAGGAACAAGAGGGAAAATAAAGACAAAAAAATAGTTATCTACTCCTGTTACAGTACTGGACTAAACCACTGTTGACCATCTAATACTCACAGACTCTAGCTGGGACTGCAGGTGGTTTATCTGAGACTTCAACTTTTCTACGGCCGCAGCATCGATGGCGCCTTCCGCAGCAGGGATGGTGCAAAGTGAGAGTCTCCTGTCAAATTCTCCTCCCACCTGGGGCTGTTGGTTCTCGTTCATCAAGTCCTTGTATATTTTTTCTAAGTCTCGTGCTTTCTGTTCCGTAATTCTGACAATATTTCTGTTGGATTCTAGTGATCTCAAAGTTTTTATTTCGCTTCGGAGATTCTGGTTTTCGACAGCAAACTTTGTGACAACAGGATTGTGTTCTAATTCCTTCTGAAGCATTTTAATTTCCTCTCTCAAGTTACACTGGAAAAGAGAATTAAATTCAAAGAAAAAACTAAGACCTGACCTAAACTTTTGAAACAAAAAATAAAGTGCAGTCACTCACACACAAATACAAAATCTTTCTATTTAATTATTATATTACATTATCAATAATACATTATCAATATTGATATATTTGCATAAGTTGTATTGGTCTGCTCGCTCCAACATGTCTGCAAACAAATTCCTGTTCTTATCCCTTAATTTCCACCTGTGACTCCTGCACCCAAATCTACTTACAATAACCCCGTCCTTGGCGTCTCCATCAGGGTCCCCAGCCTTCAGGTGTTTCTCCAACATTTGGAGGGCACTCTCCTTGAACTTCACCCTCATGTTGATGGCCATGATCTTGTAGTCCCTGGCCTTCAGCTCCTGCTCCTGGCCTGCTTTCTTCTCCTCCAGGCTCTGAAGCGAGCCACACAGTTTGGTTTATCAAACTTCTCAAAACTCTTTCATTCTAATTTACAAAACTCTTTCATTCTAATGCATGTAGTTTTGGCATGGTATACAGTAGACCAAGTACATTATAACCTGAATTTTTTATCTCAAATAAAATATATGCTTTTTTTTCATTGTCCAGTTCACAACTGCACATAACTCTATCCAATTTCTAGGCCCAAAATGTCTAAATTATGTATCATTTATTGAATTTATTATCATCTAAATGCTGCAGGAAGATTAAAAAAAAACACAGTCAGAGCTTAATTTCACAGAATCCTTAATTAATATATATTAAACCCACCAACCTTCTTATCTTGTTCGGCAATTTCTCTCAGCATCATGGCCTCCAAGAAATGCTTTCTCCATACAGAATTTGTTCTACCTGATGACATGCCAGAAACTTCTTCATCTCCCTGACTCTCTGCTGTGCTGGGCTCGTGGAGAATAGCACCTGTATAGATTTTATTTTTCATTAGTTGTTTTACTATTTTGAAATAGAACAACATTTAAAAAATGAAATAAGTATTGCTTATCAACATAAGTGGTGCATTAGAACTCCATATGAGGGAAAAAAAAGAATCCAATAAAGCTGCTCTTCAAATGTGACCTGTATTTAGTCATAGGTTTTCCATGTATTGCTTAAACAGTGAAAAGTACATGGAGGCAAACTGATAAGATAAACATACTTTAATATAATTTCAATTTACTGTCATCCATTTATTTCTGAAGGTACCAGCAATCCATAATGCTTGTCTGTGATGAGATCAAGTAATTTTTCAGTATTAGCAATAACTTACCTGAGGCATACTGCTGCAATTGTTCCTTCAATTTCTTGATCTCTGCCTGGAGATCTGCAATGCTGCCATGCATATCTTCATTCAACGTAGCCTATAACAGTGAATTTGAAAAAAAAATTTGCATTTCAAGATCACATCTTTTCTTTTCCAAGTTACCTTACAACAAGTCTGTCCCTTTACAATACACAGTATTATATTGCCACTGCTTTTTTATTTGAAACAGATGTATTATATCTTTATTCATTTCAAAAATGTTGCACACTTCATGTTTAATTTCTCAAAATTCAAATTTTCCCAGCCAGAGCCTAATTACACCAAAGGCAAATGTTTCTATGTAAATCTATATCATATATCAATATTTTCACAATTTAATAATTTTGAGGTAATCTAGTAACAGAGGATTTGTCCTGGACATCTGGGAAGTCAAACTGTACCTTATTCTTTATAAGTTTTGCCCTCCTTGCAAACTGTAATGTGGACAGTGTCTCGCTATAGTACCTGCAAATTACAAAATAAAGTATTGCCTTAATATAATCCTCATAATAATTTTAGCTGAAAATATTTTAATTGATATTAAAAGTATCAAATTATTCGCCATAAATTTGTCATTGATAGGGATCAAAACCATAATTTGAAAAAAAAATACATTATCATACCTGTGTGAAAGGTACTTATATAAGCCACTGACACAAAATCATGATCCAATCCAATATAATAATTGTAAAATTCACAATTTTCCCCACTGTAAAAATGAAGTCTTTACTGTAATAAATATAACGGTGCTTCAATTCATTTGATTTGTATATGTACTGTTTGTTACACATGGTCAGTGTGGGGATGGCTGGTCACTTACTTGGCTCCTGGGTGGACACAGGCTATCATGAATGTTTTGGCATTACCACCTAGGGAATCCTGGAATGATGAGAAAGAAATAATGAAAATTCAAAAATAAAATGAAATACCATTGGTTTGGTGTTATTCCATCTATTCATACAAAGCCTCTTTAGCTTACCACTTCTTTTCACAGGATACTTCAATATCAGTTTCACATTCATAGGTACATTTTATAAGCAAACAAAACTTCAACAACAACAACAACCATAAGCAAACACCAACTTCATGAAATCAGTCAAAGACTCCATGGAAACAATAGCTGTGCTATATTCCTTACCTAATGTTTAACTATCTAGCTTCCTGGCAGTGCCATTTCATTCACTTCTCTAGCTTCTAAGTTAGAACTGATGCAAAGACACCAACCGAGACTTTACTTACCCTCAAGAGGAAGCTGAGCTTGGAATCCCTGTATGGCACATATTTTTGTTTCTGCACCAGGGACAGGATGACATGACCCAGTACTGCCAGGGATTTGTTGATGTTGCACCCCTCCTGAAATGAGAACACACATAGATACATATGATGAAAAACTATAACAATAGCCATTCTTTGAAATAAGTTTTTCATTGATATATGTTTTACAAACTCAAACTTGTTTCATTTCTATGACACTTTATATTTTCTCTTTCAGAAACGGATAAACTACAATATAGAGAGATCATACAAACTTCAGGTTGCAGTTCATATAACATTTACAGTTCTTATACTATTCTAATTACCTTTTGAATTTAGGTCAAATAAATGGTGAAAGAAAATACCAAAAACTGGCAAGCAACTTGGACTGACAAAGCCCTTGCCAGAGCAGAAACACAAAAGCATTATGTGTAGTAAGTTGGTGATATCTTCATCTGTGTCCTGATTGTCACTTGTTTACCATACCTTTAGTCTCTGGCCTGTAGCATTGGTGTCCTTGGTCCTCTCACTGCCAGCAAGATCCACCAGATTCAGCTGTGAAGATTTGACTTTCTCTATTCCTTCTTTCTTTTCCTACAATTAATGAGATTAATCAGAGAACTGACAGGGTGAGTAATTTCAACATCCAACTCATCTGAAGCATTAGAAATGCAGAAGACTTTGTTGGCGGGACTAGCTATTAACTTCAAAAAGTTCTTCTGACTCTTTTTTAAAGGGATAATAACTCTTTGTTTCGGCCAAAAAATGAATTTTCCTGGAGTAAACAACAATTTTCCCATACTTACCAATGGTTAATGAAACCATTTTTACATTCAAAGTTAGTCCCTGGTTTTTTTCTAAAAAGTTTGGTTTTTTGTTGAAATCTCTTAAGAGATTTTAACAGAGTATAGCCTTCAATGGAGGTCACGTGATCTAAAGACAAGCTCAGATATCAGAATAATAGCTATAACTGCTGTTTTTGTGGTAAAACAAAATATATTATATTTCTATGAGTTATTCACAATGTTTTTATTGTGAAATATAGATCTCATACGAAGAGTTATTATCCCTTTAAATAACATTTTTGTTTAGAGTCAATTCTGACAATTCTATGGTATTCCAAATATTACACAGCAACTTTTATGTGCTTCAGTGATATCAAGAAAAATACAGCAAAAACTATACACATGTAACTTCTTAAATAATTCTTACTTCAACTTATGTGAAGTAATGTGAAAGATATAATATAGATAAAGAGAAAATTCTGGTTGTTATTAGATAAACCTGAAGTAGTTCATGACACCAACCCTTGATTCTATGGAAATGATGAATACAGCATGACTCCTGGAACTTTCTCTGTTCATGGATGTCGACCCCACTCTGCGATTCCTCTGGCCTTCAGACAGCACCTTGCAAATTTACAAAATACATCAAAAGTCAAAACTTTTGAAAATTTCTACTTTTTCTTTAAAATTCGTTCTTGTCAACTTCTTGAACTTAAACTACAATACATGTTGTTGACCAATTTAATTCAGGCCAAAAGAAATATACCTGTTCTTTTTTTCAATCTGTTATCATTGGAATTAAGATATCAATATACCTCTAAATTTCAAGATATTCATTTTATGCAATATCACACAGGGTTCCAAAGTTGAATTCAAAACATTGCAAAAGAGGCGGTGCATGGGCAGACACACACACTGGGTGAAATACCATATTTAGCTTCACATGAAAATTTAAAAGTGGTAGAGGAGATGGGCGTGGAATGATCTTTACCTACCTGAAAGGCCTCACTAGAACTAGTAATAGTTTCCTCTGTTAGGCCCTCCACATAGACTCCTTTCTTTATGTGTTCTCTCACGTGGAGGTTTGAAGAGGCTGGGTCTAGTAAGTCAAAGATTTGTTCTTGGTAGATCTCCATGAAAGAGCACTTGCATAAGAACTGTACACGTCCTTCTTGCTGCAATGTAATAGACATCATTTAACATCATTTGACTGTGTTTTAGGTACAACTGTGAAAATTGAAACACACAGCAGCAGTGAAACCAGTGACAGTCATATGTGTATGTGATCATGAAATGGGACTGAGAAAAAAAGGACTGAGTGATCAAACAACTTGAGGACTCTTTTCTGCAATGATCAATATCATTTGAGAATATTTCTAATCAACCTTAAAAACTGAAACCAAAAAAAAAAAAAAAAAAAAACTTAGTAAAAAATAGAAAACCATCAAAACAAGAAATGATAAGAAGAGAAAGAAGAAAAGACTGGTACCATGAAGGCAGTGCACACAAACCTTAGCCTCTTCTTTAGGTATACAGTTAAACAGGTACTCAAAGGACCTGGGGATGACCCCTCTCATATCATCCTGCAGCTCTTCACTGTACTCAGAGGGTCCCAGCATGGTGAAGGTTTTCCCAGAGCCTGTCTGGCCACTGGAACAGTAGCAGATAGCCATTAAAAAACAGTGTCAGAAACAATTTTATAAGAAATTTATATTAGAAATAATTTTATTAATTTATAATTATTATTATTATTTACATTTTTATGATCAGAAATGAGCCTAGGTTTAAAAAAAAAAAACTCTGAACATTTATCATGAGACCCAACACCTAACCTTGACAAAGCTCAGGAAATATCAGAATTGAATTAAAAAATACAGAATTTCACTTTCCTGCAGAAAAAGCTAACATCTGATAATTATTTTATCTTATTTTTCATTTTAGTTTTATTTATTCATTTATTTATTTTTATTTTTTTTTTATGCCGACCAAAAATCAAATAGATGTCTACTTACTATGCAAATATAGTGCTGTTGTATCCCTGAATGCAGCTGTCAACTGATTTCTTCCCAACAGTCCAAAATAAGGAGGCCTGAAAATATAAGTATTTTCTTAATAGAACAAATTTAAAACTATGTACAGAGCCTATTAAATATAAGCAAAAGACCAGAAGCAATATATGTAGACTACCAATGTATATATTATGTTAAAGATGTATCTGTGGCACTTGCTTCTTACAATGTAAAGGAGCTAAGTGATCCCCCTCACTGAGGTACAACTCTTACTATCATATTCTTCTCATAGTCTGAGACTCACCTGAGTAGCATTAGCACCTGCCACACTGTCATAGGTGAAGATTTTAGGGTCTGCTTTGCAAGATAAAAATACTGCTTTCTGGTCAGTGTCTACTTGAATGCAGTGGCCGTTGTCAAACTTCAGTTCTGACTGATCATCTGGAGGGCGCACTCGTACTAGTACTTGGATGGCATCTCCGTCACTGTGCACAGGGAAAAAAAAGAAAAACAGAACCATGAATACCCATTCTCATATCACATAAAAAATTATACTTGGTCCTTCATTCTAAATTAAACACTGAAAAAAAACTCCACTTGTAGGCAAAGTTTAACTGTTAGGAGTTACTAGTACATACATAAAACGTCAGTTCCAAAAATGAAAAATCCATGACAAATGAACATAAAATTTAAGACCATTTTCAATCACATAACTCATAATTGTATTTATTCATTTATTTATTTATTGTTATGTTGTGTTTTTCTGAATCTGACATACTTCCCATCCCCAGAACCCGGGCCACTTTTATCTGAAAACATATAATGACAAAAAATTATATAACGTGTCAAAATAAGTTGTCATTACTTCATTTTAAATATTCATAAAATAACTTATAAGACAGATTACTTAATGATGATTAGCTTATTCAAGACAATTATTTCATATTTGTAGGCAAAGCATAGGCACCTGTCTTGGACATGACTACGCTTCGGCCATCGTTATAACAAGTTAAGTACAACAAATAATTTCAGATATTAAAGAATAAACCACTTTATAAGAACAAGATGCACTTTAAACGTACCCGATGGTGGCATTTTGACAAAGCAGTGAAAACGAATAGTTCTCCAAGCAACCTATCATTCAAAATTGGCGCTGTGCGAGATCTCGCGTGATGTCTCGCCTACATCATCTTCATGTAACTAGAAGATTAATGCCGTATTTGACAGCAATTTATGCTGGAAGTATAAAATAAAAAATTCAAATTATTGTGAAAATATTTATTTTGTTATCCTCAATTTTCAGGATCTATACAAAGACATTATTTTTATGGATGTAAGCACCTAATTTTCTGACGTCACTCATTTTCCGCAAAATGGCTGATGTAGATTTGTACAAAATACTTGGCGTTTCAAAAACCGCCTCAGATAGTGAAATCAAAAAGGTAAGTTGATATCGAGTTGGCACCAGTGACAAGACAGCGTGTTTTTACAGCGCTTTATGTTGTTTTCCATCAGAATGAGATGTTTTCCCATTAATATACATTTGTTCACAGTCTTTCATTTTGGACAAAGCACGCGGAGATTGTCGGACTCGCTTTGAAATTAGAATAAAGGGGAATTTTGCAATATCATCTGAAGATGGCTCTATCTGTTTCCATTACTTTCAGGCACAATAGTGAAGTCCCTAAATTCTTAAGAAGAAGGATTGTAAAATGAAATGTCTGAGATTCGTAATATTTGATTTTTCATAATTTTCCTTAATTTTCTTTGAACATGCTCCTAGTTGTTCACTAGGACATTTTATACAATGACTAAGACTGAAATTCGAAACAAACTCAGGTTTCTTATGTAACTCGTAATTTCTTAATATTTTAATTTAAAAATGACACAAAAGGGTGAGCACATGACCTCTCATCTCTGATCCCATGTCACTTCACACATTGGGCCAAGTCATCTTTTATCAACCATTTAGTGATAAATTATGTATTCGGTGTTGTTCTGAAACTGGAATTAGTTTTTAATGTGTCTTTTGCTAGATAAATGGAGCTTCCAAAGGCAGCATTTTAGTCTTCCATGCCCTGTATTAACCTGCACAAAAGAACTTTGTTAAAATGCCAAAAAAAAAGACACTTTCAAGATAGCTTAAAGGGGGGCACACGTTGATGCTCATCCAGGACACACAGCAGCTTGTACACTCCTTGTCCCTAAGAAAGGGAATTAGTTCCTGATATGCCTAGAATTAGTACAAATTGAAAGTTGAATTTTTAAGTACGTTTTAACCTACACAGTAGAACATTGTAGAAATGGTTGAAAAACAATTCAGTTTTATTGGACACTTAATTGTAGGCTGCTAGGGGAAGGGAAGATGGAAAGAGAGAGTGAAAGAACAGGAAACGAGACATCTGCCACACTCACTCATTGTCTCTAATAATAACTACGGTAGTGCTTTCATTTTCGTGTGATTGAAGTATAAATCAGATGCCACAAGCCCAGACAGTGGTTATGATCAGTCTGTCAGGAAATGGTGCTGCAGTTGAAATCATCTTTATGGCTCCTCATTTGTATTTTATTTTAATCTTGGCGAGATTTAACTGTGGTTTGTCAACTGTAATGCATAATTTATTATGATAATGTTGACATTTAAATAAAAGAAAACTATTTAAATGTTAGTCATGCTACATCAGCTTCCTAAATGATCTTAGTTTTTTATCAGGGTCATTTAAAAAAATAGTGAATTCAACAAGACTTGAAATTATTCACAATACAAGGCAATCACTATAAAATTATCACCCCTTAATGTTTAAATGATTTTGTTGTTTTTGTTTACAAGATCGTGTATCTGCTATTTGATTATTTTCATATCAGGATTTAGAATAGGGAATTGAAAAATACTTCAAACATCGACCTTACTGTGAATGCAGATTAAGTGCTATACTCTTAATATTATAGTATATTTCATGCCTTTATGCATAAATACTGTAAAAAAAAACAATAGGGAAAAAATCATGAGGGAAAATCAATAATTGCATAGCTAAGTGACTATTTTCTCAATGTATCCTCTATCTGAGAGTGCAGTATGCCTTTGATATTAACACTGACAGATTAATTATATGCCGCAAGTTTTTGCTATAAAAGCCTAAAAGTTTTTTCCCTGAACTCTGACCATGTCAGCAATGGAGTACTTTAGTACAAGGAAATCTTCTGATTTACATCATGACACATGTGACTGTTGATCAGATTTCCCTGTGTGCGTGGGGAAAATATTACAATATTACAAAGGGCAGGCAAATGTTATTGCTGCTTAAGCTATTCCTAATTTACGCTAATGCCTTGTAAGATGCAGAGGTAAACTTCTACTGCCAAGTAATATGTGGAGAAGGAAATCTAATTTTATGGTAATAGAAAAGATGATATGCCAGTCTTCTGAAGTGGGACTAACAAAATATGCTCAGAGGAACCTTGAAACAAAAGAGCTGAAAGAGATAGTTTGTCTAAATTTCAAGATGGAACATTTCAGTTAGATTCAATCTAGGATAAATGTTCAATAGACAACAAAAAAAAAGTATTAGGTGTAAATAGTCCTTATTTATGTTGATGAGTGTTTCTCGGTAAACAGCATTCTGGCATCTTTTAATTGTGATTATTTCTTTAAGATATAACAAATGATACAAAATGGCCTGGTAAATGAGTTTGATATTTATTTCTTATCTGCAGCTTTTCTGTCTCTGAAGTTAAAACTTAAAAATATATCCTGGTAAATTGTAATATTCTGTGATGTTCAGTTTTACATGTTTGCAGGCATACCACAAACTAGCCAAAACTTACCATCCTGACAAGAACCCAGAAGCAGGAGAAAAGGTACAGCCGTTACTCTTGTTCTTTTGCTAGGTGCAAAGAGCAATTAGAATCACTTACTAGTTAATCTTGGCCTGTTGTATTTTTGATATTACAAAAAAGCCTTTTTAAACCGATTTGTCCAATAACTCTGACACATGATGTAAAAAGATTTGGCTGATTAACCTCTTAAAGCTAGTCGTCTTTTAATAAACAGATATTTGTTGGTTGGCAAGATATGAGAAGTGATTTTAGCTAATGTAATGTATAATTTTGAATATAATATCTTTTCTCTTGCAGTTTAAAGAGATCAGTTTTGCCTATGAAGTTCTGTCCAATCCAGAGAAGCGAGAAATTTACGACCGTCATGGAATGCAGGGTCTTAAAGAGGGAACTGGCGGGGGTGGGGGTGAGTTCAGAGAAGCTGATTGACATGATCTATTTTAACTGTCTGAACTGTAATAGTTGAACTGATGAACCAGTGAAACTAGTGCTCAATAAGTCGAAAAACAACAGTGCTGAAAATGTAAAGAGCATTATTGATTATCTCTGAAGTTGTCTAATAATGTGATGATAATGAGTGGAGAAGTGTGAAATAATTCCATTCCCTTTTCCTCATAAAGAAATATATAAATACAGTAATAATTATGATAAAATAATGTGTATACATGTATTATTATCGTGTGATCATCTCCGTTTTAGGTTTCCCAGATATATTCTCCGATTTGTTTGGTGGATTCTTTGGCATGGGGGGTATGGGTGGGGTGAGAGGGGGGATGGGGGGGAGAGGAAGGAGAAGAGGAGAGGATACATACCATCCACTGAGGTAAAAAGGAAAAAATGTTTGGTAGCCTTTTGAGTGAAGGGACAGTCACTGATATCAGGTTTTCAGTCATTTTAACGGTTGAGTTTTATTGTCACTTTGTTATCCAGCTGTCAGCCCAATTTTCAAGTACCTGAGTCAAAAATCTCAAGTTAACAAACAAATGTCGTCATTTGATGATGATATCTCTATCTGCATTTAGTAAAAGCAATAACTAATATAGATTAAGACGTTTTACTCTGTTGTCTTGTCTTTGATTGCATTGTGTTGATTTCCATTTCAGGGTTTCTTTAGAGGATTTATATAACGGAACAACAAAGAAATTACAACTTAGTAAAACTGTTATATGTAAAAAATGTAATGGGTAAGTGTAAATGTGGTATTTTCTTGGTTTTAAGAAAAAGTCTTGAAAGTGTTGTGATAAAATGCTTATTGTTGTCACCTAAGTGCTCTTAATTATTAATCTTCTATAAAACTAGCAGTGTTTTCAGATACACCAACATACTAAGTACACTAAAATTGTATCAAAATGCATCTGGTTTAGAGTAGAAGGCTGTAAACAGTTAAGAGTGTTGTTTAATACCTTGCTGTCTGTGAAGACAGCCTCGTTAGACTGCAGACTTTTACGAAATTTAACTGATGTTGTCTTTGTCTTCCAGTCAAGGTGGTAAACCAGGCGCTCTCCAGAACTGTACAGTGTGTCACGGGCGCGGCGTGAAGGTGACACTAAGACAGCTGGGACCGGGGATGGTCCAACAGTTGCAGACAATTTGTCCACAGTGTCACGGAGAAGGTGGGTGGAGAGCTGCTGCCTTGACGGATGGCCTTGTTACTTTTAGGGATGGATTGTGATTTGTGTGGGTGTGAAATGGGAGAACCACATTGTTCTTCAAATCAAGACTATTGCAAATGCTATAGTCTCCTGTATGTTACTTAAAATGTCCAAACTTCCACTGAAATATTGGGTGCATATCATTTATTTGTATTCAACATATTAAATTTTCTGCAGTTTTTTTTTTTTTTTTTTTTAGTTTAAAAAAATCATGCAGTGAATTTGTTTATTCATTTTCCTTTCGTATTGATAGCCTTACTTTTGTAAATCAGGTGAAATGATAAATGAAAAAGACAGGTGTAAGGAATGCAAGGGAAAGAAAGTTAGCCAAGAAACCAAGATTCTGGAGGTTCACGTAGACAAAGGAATGAAGGACGGACAGAAGATACCATTCAGAGGAGAGGGTGACCAGACGGTAAGAGCTCCTACACACAAGTCATTAACACACCTCCTCTTGTTACCAACATACTGGTACAATCAACACCTTCTCCGTTTTCTACTTAATGCCAGGAGGAGGACTGTTAATATATTAATCTGATTGTATTCTGTCAGAGTCATCATGGAGCTGCATCACTCTACATAGACTGATGGTTTCATTGGGAATGAGCCAAGTGTCTTTGTTGACTTCCAAATGTTATATTATCACTAGCATATAAAGCTTATTAATGACTGATTACTTGCAGCTTTACAGGAAGGCTGAATGGCTGTATATGCCAGCGTGAGATATATTCTTCCAGTTTGACTCTTTTGACATCCTGAGTCAGAGTTGGTCTTGTTTTCTTCCATGAACATTGTTTTAGATTCTTTAGGCACCAAAATGTAAGAGACTGGACTAAAAAAAATATGTAAATAATGCAGAATTAAGATTAATTAAGATAAATAGAATTAAGAAATACATAAAAGTAAATGAATCACATCTGATGGATTTTTTTTCAGCCCGGCATGGAAGCAGGAGATGTGGTCATTGTGCTGCAGCTCAAAGACCATGAAACTTTCACGAGGAACGGAGCTGACCTCTACTGCTCACACAAGATAGGCATCACTGAGGCCTTGTGTGGCTTTGAGTTTGTACTGAAGCACCTGGACAACAGGGAGTTAGTGATCAAACACCCCCAGGGACAGGTGATAGAGCCTGGTAGGTGATACAGTTCATCCACCCCCTATCAATACTCCCCCCCCCCAAAAAAAAAAAAAAAAATGAAAATTTGCCAAATGCTGTGGAGAATCCAAAATATCTGATTCTTATGGGGGTATTTTGAATTAGTATGAATGATTGAAAGAAAAAAGTTTTCTGACTCTAGAGGTAGACCTAAATTCGCTGTCATGAATTCTGATTAGTATGATGAAGTTGTGGCTGGTACATGCCCTAGAATTTTAAAATGAAGTTAAGGAAGATATCTATTGGAATTATGGTTGTACTGGCTGGTAGTTAAGAGGAAATAAATCATCAGTCTAATTATAAATTTCAATCATTTGAATATTCATCTAATGATATTAACATGTCAATCTTTAAAAGAAAAAAATTAAAATTTATGACACAGAACATTAATTGATAGATTAAATGTCGAGTTAAAAACCAGTTTCACTTTCTATTCCAGGTTCCATGAAGGCAGTGATTGGTGAGGGGATGCCACATCACAGGAATCCCTTTGAGAAAGGAAATCTTTATATTAAATTTGAGATCACATTCCCCACAAATGGTTTCTTGAAAGGGGATGAACTCAAGGTGAGCCAAGTCTTGTTTGGTTCCCAAAACCTAGCTGAAAAGTCTTCAAAATGAAGCAAATTGTGTGAATTATAAGTTTAATGTCAAATGCGGTGAATAAATGGAGCTTGAAAATGCGTTTGATGCATTGTTTTAAGTGAATGGAAGAAGTGAATTTAAATTCAACAATATAAGAGAGAATATGTCTACAAAATATTTTTCCATAGAATATTCCATGAGAAAAAAAATGTCTTCAAGTTGATTTCTTTTATTTTGTGATAATCATCAAATGCAATATGGAGAAACGTGTTTTATTGGTGCTGAAATTATATTTTAAAGAAGAAAACTTTCTCACTACCAAACTGGACAGCACTTTCCTTTTGCATTTCAGAAATTGGAAAAATTGCTCCCAGCGCGGCCTCCATTTCACGCTCCTACCGGAGAACACGTGGAGGAAGTGGACCTGGTGGAATATGACGCCTCCAAAATGGGCGGAGCAGGAAGGCGGGGAGAGGCGTACGAATCGGACGATGATGATGAAGGAGGACACGGAGGACCTAGGGTGCAGTGTGCACATCAATAACGTGAAATTCTGTTCTAGGAATACTTTGAGGATTAGGTAATAAAGACATCTTTGATAAGGATGGTATTTAATGATAATTTAATAACACAATGATTACAGGATTTTATGACAAGCTTGTGCTGGATGGAGGTGCCATCTACAAGTCTCATCTAGTTGAGATATTGGAGGAGGATAATGGAATTCTGTTATGAGATTTTACCATGCAATAGACACTTGATTTTTTTTCCCTGAGAGTCAACCAAAGGAGGACTTTATATTTAGAATCACTTTCTTTATTTACTTCCTCTGACTACATGGATTGGGGGAAAGAATTGGGTTAAAAACTGAATCTAGGACAAAAACCAGAAAGTGGGTGTTAACTTTATGAAACAAGTGCTTTCATTAGTGGAGGACATGTTGACGATATACCTTAAGCTGGAAAGCAGTGGCTTTTCTTTCAGATAACACATACCCATTGTTTTGTTTCTCTTCCTACTTGCTTGCCCTCCCTCTCCCCTCCCCTCCCTCTCTCTCTCTCTCACATTGCTTACACAAAAGTTTTTTGTCTCAAAAAATGTGAATTGCATGTAAGTAGGTTGTCATGGTATGTTCCATAATGGAAATTTTGGTCCTAATTTTTAAAAAAAATTATGATCACCCTGGGTTTTACTGGTGATGCAGCCGACCAGTTATACAGGTCGTAGATAAAATCTTCTATCATCGTGCAAATTGAGGCAATTTTCCACAAAGGTTCTATGTGGTCCAAAGTTTCGGTGGTTATTTATTGCTACACAGGTAATTCAAGTATCTAAAAATATCCTAGAAACCAAGTTGCTAACATATACCTAACACTGTTGAATAATGATGATGCTACAATTCAAATTTTTACTACATAGTTCATGTGCTTATATGTACGATGCCGTGAAGTGAAGTGCTATTTAAACTGTTACAGGGGGTGTGATGGGATGAAATGACACAGATATTCATTTGCCATTTTACGGGACAATGTGTGTATTATATGTGTATAGTTCACAATATTTAAGAATCACTTGTCTGCAAAAGTCATTGAATGAATTGTATTCCTTTTTATTATTGGAAATAAACTAAATATGCTTGATCCATGCCTACGTATTACATCTTTTCCAATAAAATCATTTACAGACAATTATCCTGCTATGACACTGCTACCCAAAAGCAATTTCTGTAACGGGAGGTAATTTTTTGAAGGTGGGGAGGGGGCATCTTCCTCGGGGAAATGGAACTGTCTATCTTGTCACTAATCACGTTTGTGCTTCTCCAAAATCTATTAGAATGTTGCCTTCATTTCAAGAGGATATAGTTTTTCTGCTGAACACGGTTAACAGAAGCAAGGGCCCAAGATAGCACAGTGGGGCTTAAAAAGTAAAATGAATGCCCGTTAAAAGCAAAAGAGGCGACGGAACTTTTGAAATAAATAAAAAAATTCTCTCTGATAATCTCACCGAGATGATTGCACATTTTGATGAAATGCAGTACATACGGAGTTAGCTATGGCTCAATTGAAGTTCAAGATCTGTGGCACCAATATAAGGACTTTTAAGTGAAAAGAAAAGAAATATTATATTGACCACGCAGGCTTTATTCTAAAGACCAGCAATATGTTCGTTTTAAATCAACCACTTAATGTAAACTTTCTAAAGTATACCGTATTTATATGCAAAAGGTAATTTGCTAGGACTCACGACAGCCCGCATTCGTTCTCGTGACATCCCGATTCATGGGCCCAGTCGTTATCGTGGTGGAGTGACGTGCCTCATCCGAGATTCGAACTCGTGGCTTTGCGTTACCATGGTTGATGACGCTTTGGATTGCTCATTTGCATCCATGCACGCTACCGACTGCGCCGTGACAGACCCGCCCACCCTCCCTACTTACTAGTTTCCTCTTATAGTAATCAATCGCAATTTTTTTTTTAAATAAAGTCTGCCCAAAAAGGACATTTACTTCTGCTGGGACTCGAACCAGTCTACGAGTGTCTGCCGGTATCCTAGTCAGCAAAGCCACCACGGAGCCACGGCAGCTTCGTTGACACACGACGATCAGATGGAAACTTTCAACCTTGTCACAGAAAGGGCCAGATTGGGTGCACATGTATATATCTGCTGACCCAATCGATAATCCNTTTTTTTTTTTTTTAATAAAGTCTGCCCAAAAATGACATTTACTTCTGCTGGGACTCGAACCAGTCTACGAGCGTCTGCCGTTATCCCAGTCAGCGAAGCCACCACGGAGCCACGGCAGCTTCGTTGACACACGACGATCAGATGCATGGAAACTTTCAACCTTGTCACAGAAAGGGCCAGATTGGGTGCACATGTATATATCTGTTGACCCAATCGATAATCCGGGTGCCGTATTTCATCAAACTCAACCCCAGTCCTCGACCATGGTTTATAATGAACGGCAAATTCCATGATGTACAGGAAGACGTGTTTGAGAACCCGACACGGAGCTCGGAGTTTGATTTATACTTAGATTAATAATTTTGGCTTTACCTATGATATTAAAGAGTACAATAGGATCAGAAGCGGTTTACAACAGGTGTGTTTTAGTTCAAGGGACACCCTAAGAAGATGGAATAATAAGAAAAAATCAAATGTCTAATTGCTGGTGCGATTTCCATTGAAGCAATTGCAGCGACGGATAAATTTTAGTTAAACATAATTGGCAAATAATTCCGCCTAGAAGATATAGTTTTTCTGCTGAACACGGTTAACGGGTATCAATTCATTTTCGGTCGTGTCGCTTTCATTGATGGGTCTGCGTGGAAAGTTCCGAGTAAGATGACTTCAGATGCTTTTATTTTCATTCTGTTTTGCACTGAGATAACGTTTGGTTTCACCTTTGACGTTATAGAGCACGATGAGGTCCACAGCTGTTCACACCTGGCCGGTTTTAGTATTGAGTAGTCTTTACTCTTTCAAATGTCGACTGCGGACTTGCCACGGGTTCTGTATGAACATATGAACGGTCTTTAGAAGCAAGGGCCCAAGACATCACAGTTATGCCCGTTAAAAGCAAAAGAGGCGACGGAACTTTTGAAATAAATAAAAAAAATTCTCTCTGATAATCTCACCGAGATGATTGCACATTTTGATGAAATGCAGTACATACGGAGTTAGCTATGGCTCAATTGAAGTTCAAGATCTGTGGCACCAATATAAGGACTTTTAAGTGAAAAGAAAAGAAATATTATATTGACCACGCAGACTTTATTCTAAAGACCAGCAATATGTTCGTTTTAAATCGACCACTTAATGTAAACTTTCTAAAGTATACCGTATTTATATGCAAAAGGTAATTTGCTAGGACCCACGAGAGCCCACATTCGTTTTGGAATATTTGAGTTATTTGTTTCCCAGCATGGCCAAAGAGGTGCTTGCAATCTGTCACGAAGGGTGTACGTACAGTAAACGCCATCAAATTTTTTGACGAATTCAACACGTCAAAAGAGAAAAGTCATCCGTGGTAGCAGGAATTTTTGAAACTGTGGGTACTTTTGACTGATTAGGATTTATTATATCGAAAGATGAGTAATTGGTTTAGGTGCCCGAAACTCTAGCCCACCTTCACAAATTTCGAACTAAACCAATGTGCTAGATGTGACTTGGTCATTGCGTCGAGGACCATAATTCATCAAGTGACAAATCGCGCTATATAATACTGATAGAATAGTCAAAACTTACTACACTTTTTTAAGTTTCGCTAACGCGAACCCCATTTCTGACCTGGGACTTGAAAAAAGGAGGGGCTATCTGAACAGCTCGAGGGAAGAATTCAAGACCAAGGACCCATACCCAATTAAATTATTGTGTTTCAAAGATTGAGACTCGCTGAATGCAATCAGATTAACAAGTGAACACGCCTCCTCTTGTTTCTAACGTACCAGTATAACGACCAGCTTTTCTGTATTGTACTCGACGTCAGGAAGAGGTGTGTAATCTGATTGCAGTCAGCGAGAGTCTCAGCAGAGTTGGATCGATCTACGTAGGACGATAGATTCATTGTGAACCAACCCTAAAGGGTTATAACTAGTGTATGGTTAGCGTTGAGCTCAAACATCCTCGTGTAGATGTTGTTTATCAGTTGTAGTAAATATGAATATAAGAAGAACTTTGAGATACAAAGGGTAAGTATACTTTTCTGACTAGACAACTTATTCTAAATTCTTATTCGATTATTTTGAGACACGAATTCAACTTGAGACAGGCCATTTAAGCAAGAGAAAAAGCAATATTTTAAACTGCTTAAAACCACAAGAGCGATCTCCATTTTATCAAATAATACTATTTTCTGCCCCACTTTTATAGTTATCAATATCAAAAACAAATAGAAAATGTTCGGTTTACCTGTACATATTTATTCAGTGGTAAACATCTATGAGAAAAGAAGAATAGATGTCATTCAAGTTAAATAATAACATAAATATGATTAACTTAAAACTATGTACACATTCAGTTAATACGGAGAAGGTAATAGAAAAGACCATACGCGAGTAGGGGAAGACGTTTCTTCCTATGCTATTACCAAATCGCCTGAATTATTGGCTGAAAACATACAACTCTTAAATTTCAATTCCCGCACCGTATCGTTTTGGAAACAATGGCAGTTGATATAAAGACAAGTTGAGAATTGTATGAATATCTTACATCATTGTGAAACATCAAAACTGAGGAATTGGCATGTATGCCCCCAAAGCGACGCTTGAGTGACAACGAATGTACACTGCACATAATGCATAAGACTTGAAAATTGTAATGTAGTAGATTCGTAATTTATCAACATCAGAATCTTGGCCGTTATTTGCAAGTCTTGATGCACTCGTTATTTCGAAAGCTGGAAATTTTATATTTGAGGTTAATCTCATCTGTACTCGGTATAGGCTACATGTCTTATGTTGGCCTAATTTCCCATCCGTAAAAAATTGAAACCATGTTGGTTCTAATAATGAAGTCACTATGGTTTTTCATACATTCTTTATGTGCACGTCATGCATCGCTTTGTGGAACAGGCCTTATCTAGGCGTTCGTTTGGCATGTCACCAAAAATAATTACTGTTATAAAATTACATATTTCTTTTAGATTTCGTACCGCCCTTTTACTTGGCTTATGAAGATCTTACTGGATCAATTTTAAGCAATAGGCTAGCGTTTATCTACAAATTGCAATAAATAAACTACAGCAACGCATCTCTCAGGCAACCATAAGCATATGTATAGAACATGCCCTGTCTTCGAGAAATTCGACCTAGACCTAGTTTCCGAACTTCAATTTCCCAAGAACCCTCAGATGTTAGGCAAACATGTGACAAGTGTGGACGGAAAAAAAAAGCTGCGAATGTTCGTTTGGAATTTTCTCGGCGTCATTATCATCGAAAGCAACCTCTAATGGTGATCGTTAGAGAAACGTCTGCAATCATTCTCAAGCACCGTAATAAGTTCTGCCCGCTTTTGTTTAGCGCCATAATAAATTTNACATACTGGTATAATCAACAGCTTTTCTGTTTTCTACTTAATGCCAGGAGGAGGACTGTTAATATATTAATCTGATTGTATTCTGTGAGAGTCATCATGGAGCTGCATCACTCTACATAGACTGATGGTTTCATTGGGAATGAGCCAAGTGTCTTTGTTGACTTCCAAATGTTATATTTTCACTAGCATAAAGCTTATTAATGACTGATTACTTGCAGCTTTACAGGAAGGCTGAATGGCTGTATATGCCAGCGTGAGATATATTCTTCCAGTTTGACTCTTTTGACATCCTGAGTCAGAGTTGGTCTTGTTTTCTTCCATGAACATTGTTTTAGATTCTTTAGGCACCAAAATGTAAGAGACTGGACTAAAAAAATATGTAAATAATGCAGAATTAAGATTAATTAAATAAGATAAATAGAATTAAGAAATACATATAAGTAAATGAATCACATCTGATGGATTTTTTTCAGCCCGGCATGGAAGCAGGAGATGTGGTCATCGTGCTACAGCTCAAAGACCATGAAACTTTCACAAGGAACGGAGCTGACCTCTACTGCTCACACAAGATAGGCATCACTGAGGCCTTGTGTGGCTTTGAGTT